GAGGCGAGGCTGCAAAGGGGCCACGGGGTGTGCTGGAAGCAGGTGCCCATGGACACTCCGGAATAAAGGCAGTGTGCAAGGAAAGCAAAGTGGTCTCCCGGTCTTGCACCAACACACACGTGGTATCGGTGAGTTCGTGCATCCGTGTGTTCTGGAGGGGTCACACCCCTCCCACGTTCCCAGGCTGCAGTCCTTTTATAAGAATTATTGCTATTATTATTTAAAGAATTATTTTTTATTTAATTTCATTTATTCATTCATTTGTTTTCATTTGATCAGAGAGAGACACACACACACAGAGGAAAGCGAGAACACACGCCACGAGGTCTGAGACTTGAACCGTGGTCACCCATGTGGGAGCGTCCAGCGCCTTAACCACCACGCCACCTGCTGGTCCCAGAAGTATTTCTTTAGTTGTATTAATTATGATTGTTATTCAATTTGACCGGAGAGACACAGAGAGGCAAAGCAAGCTGCCAGGTCAGGGCCTCAAACTGTGGTCTCCCTGTGGGAGTCCAGCACCCCCACGCCCACGCCACCTGCTGGCCCCCCTAGTTTGCAGTCATAGCCCCCAGGATGTTAGAGAACGGGGCCCTAGCAGATGTGGGTGGCTGAAGAGGTCCCTAGGGCGGGCCTGAGCCAGTATGCTTGGCGGCCTTATCAGAGGGATGCTGGACACGCAGCAGAGGGGGCAGCCATGGCGGAAAAACAAGCCACGAGGTCTGGGCCTTGACCCGTGGTCACCCATGTGGGAGCGTCCAGCGCCTTAACCACCACGCCACCTGCTGGTCCCAGAAGTATTTCTTTAGTTGTATTAATTATGATTGTTATTCAATTTGACCGGAGAGACACAGAGAGGCAAAGCAAGCTGCCAGGTCAGGGCCTCAAACTGTGGTCTCCCTGTGGGAGTCCAGCACCCCCACGCCCACGCCACCTGCTGGCCCCCCTAGTTTGCAGTCATAGCCCCCAGGATGTTAGAGAACGGGGCCCTAGCAGATGTGGGTGGCTGAAGAGGTCCCTAGGGCGGGCCTGAGCCAGTATGCTTGGCGGCCTTATCAGAGGGATGCTGGACACGCAGCAGAGGGGGCAGCCATGGGAGGCCAGAGCAGAGACGGGGTGATGCCCGGAGCTGGGGAGGCCAGGGCAGCTCCTCCCTCGGGGCCTCGGAGGGAGCCGGCCCGTGAGCCTGGCCCTCGGCCCCTGGGCTCCGGCATTGCAGAGATTGCCTGTGTTTAAGCTGCCAGCCCGTACGGGGAGCACTTTCCAGGGAACAGTGCGTGTGTGCGTGTGCGCGTCTGTGAGTGTGAGACCTTCGGAGAAGCGTAGCGAGCTGACCGTAGGCGGTGCGTGCGTGTGTGAGGGTCTTACCAGTACTACCTTCATTTGGGCAAACGAAATGAATCTGTGCATTATACGCATGCTAAAGTCATTTTTGGAGCCAGTAGGTAGCATGGAGGTTAAGGTGCTAGATCCCACATTGCCCTCTGTGTGGTTCAAGTCCTGGACCCGGCGGCTTGAAACTCACACTGGGCGCGTGTATGTGCCCACCCCAGATCCTAAGAGGAGAATTGAGGAGACGGGATTGTGGCATGATCATTCCCCTGGGGGTGATTTGACCTCTCCAGTCAAATTAAAACAACAGTAATGATACATAAAATAAAGGAAGTCATTTTCCTCTCTCTGTCTCTCTGTCTCTCTGTCTCTCTGGCAATCATATGCACCCTATAGCAAAAGCCTCTCCAAAAGAAAAAAAAAATAGAGAGAATGAAAATTATTTTTTTATTTAACTGTATTTATTTGTGTATTTATTTATTTATTTATTTATTTATTTTAATTTGACTAGAGAGAGAGAGAGAGAGAGAAAGCAAGCCACCAGGTCCAGGACTCGAACCGTGGTCAGCCATGTGGGAATCCAGCACCCTCGATGACCACGCCACTCGCTGGCCCCTGTTTTTTGTTTTGTTTCGGTTTTTGTTTTTTTAAGAGAGGTTTTTGTTATAGGTGCATGCGCTCGCTGGAGAGACAGAGAGGCCGAAAATGAGAAATTACCCCCACGGGGCTCGGCCACCACAATCCCTTCTCCATTCTCCTCTCAGGATTTGGGCCATGTACACACGTGCACCTGAATTACTTATATAATTCCATTTGTTATTATTGTTTTTTAATATGACTGGACGGAGGCAGAGAGAGAGAAAGGGAAAGCGAGAAAGCAAGCTGCCAGGTCTGGGACTCCTACCATGGTCGACCGTGTGGAAATCCAGCGCCTTTAACCACCACGCCACCTGCCCGCGCCCCCTCGCCTCTTTTGGATGTGCAGGGAGAACAGTTCATGTGGTACCTTGAGGTTGGGGGGCGGTTTCTACGGGGACGCCAGCCCTGTCAATCGAGCCTCGGGCGGCTCGGAAGGCGGGTGTCCGCGTCCGGGTTCCCCCCACCGCAGCGTGTTTGTAACCGAGCAGAGACGCCAGGGCGGTGAGAGGTCAGGAGTGCAGCGAGCGGCCGAGCAGGGTCTGGAATCCGGGCCGGGAGATTCCGGTGCGGCTGCTCTTCTCCCCGCGGGCAGCGTCTTGGGAAGGCAGGTTTATTGGGATTTAATGAGCACGCCCCATAACCACCCGGGGAGGGCGGGGATGCCGGGGTTCTGTGTGTGCACCGGTGACGAACCATCCCTACAGTCCGCCGGGGGCGGCAGGTGGCGTGGTGGTTAAGGGCGCTGGGCTCCCACATTGGTGACTGCGGTTCGAGTCCTGGACCTGGCAGCTTGCTTTCTCACTGTCTCTCTCTCTGTCCCTCTCTGGTCAAATTAAAATAAATAAATAAAGATAAATAGACTAATTCTTTAGGAAAAAAAATTTAAAAAAGGGGGGCCAGCAGGCAAGTGCATGGTTAAAGGTGCCGGACTCCCACATGACTGACCACGGTTTGAGTCCCGCATCTGACTGGTGACTTATTTTCTCAGTTTGTCTCTCTCTTTCTCTGTGTGTCTTGCTCTGGTCAAATTAAAACAACAATAATGGTCAATAAAATAAATCATTCTTAAAAAATAAGAATAAAAAATAAAACCACACACACAGAAACAAGAGAAAGAAAGCCCTTCCCCAGCTCCTGACACCCACCACCTGCTCTGTCTCTGTGGAGCTCTCTGTCCCGGACACTTGTATAAACGGAACCACCCCCGCTGTGGCCTTCCGTCTGGCGCATCTCGCTGAGCATGGGGTGTCCAAGGCTCATCCGCATTGCAGCACGCATCAACACCCCGTTGAAATAGCAATAATCCCCATCGCATCCTTCGCATACACTTCACATGGTCGACTGTGGTTCGAGTCCTGGACCTGGCGGCTTGCTTTCTCACTTTCGCTCTCTCTCTGTCCCTCTCTGGTCACATTAAAATAAATAAATAAAGGTAAATAAAATAATTCCTCGCCCAGGGACGTTCGGGTCGTTTTCACTCTGGCTGCTACGCCTGGCGGTGCTGTGACCACCCGTGTGCACATTTTTGTTGGAACACCTGTTTTCAGTGTTCTCGGGCATTCTCCTAGGAGTGGAAAGGCTGGATCGCACAGGGATGCCGGGTATTGAGCTCTTTGAGGAACGGCCAGACTGTTTTCCAAAGCAGCTGCATCTGCCGCTGAGGAACGACAGGAGTCATTCATCTGCTTATTCAACCACCAGGCTGGCTACGACGCCCCTGTAGGTGCTGCGCCAGGTCCCAGGGAGGAAAGGAACGTATGGGGGATGATGAGACGGCCGTAGGGGCGGGGTGCACTCCTGGGGAGGCCTGGCTGAGCAGGGAGGTGTGAGCAGAGACCTGCCGGTGAAGGCTGGCCCAGGCAGCTATGTGGGGAAAGGCGCTCCGGGGAGAAGGATCTGAGTGCAAAGACCCTGAGGCGGGTGAATGAAAAGGACGTAGAAGGAACCGCAGGCAGGGAGGTGATGTGAGCAGGTTGTTTAGGGTCTAATGGGCCGTAGCTGTCACTGGGAGCCTGGTGCTGCCTGGACCCAGATTCGGGTCTTAGCCTCGCAGCCCCCCAGCCTCTTGGTTCTGGGCCCCTTGCAATGTCTCCACTAGCAGGAGGGGGAAACTGAGGCGCCATTGAAAGAGCAGCCCCCCTACACACACACACACACACACACACCGCTCCGGGCCACAAGTTCTGGGCTCAGAGCTGGGCCTGCCATTGCAGGGCATCAGGGGCGCTAAGTGACGTGAATGAATACATGGAAGCTGCTCCGCCTGATTTTGCAAGATGCTAAGAACAGGTCCCACTAGTCCTGCTGCAGGAGGCTGCCTCTCAGGACCTTAACTTCGGTCTTAGCAACCTACTGCCGTCCCCATGACAACTGGGGCGGAGCCCGACCGGGATCCTCAGGTCCTCTGATCCCGCGAGGGCGGGGAGTCTAGTCTTCTACTGGGAAGACGACCGCGTTGCTCCTACTGGCCCTTTAAGAGGCTCCGCCCGGCGAGGCCTCCGGGCGCCCGCGATTGGTTCCGAGGGCATCCGAGCACAGCCGAACTTGACGCACCGCCTGAAGTCTTCCCTACCCACCTCCCACGCGACACAGCCGCCTTCCCAGCCAATCACCGATTGGCGCGCCGGTCTTTATCTGCATGGCCACGCCCCAGAGAGAGGTCGCACCCAATCGGACCGCTCGCCGAGGCCGTCTTTAGCATGCCGGGGGCGGAGCAGGGCGGGGCAGCCGGCAGGGGCGGGCTCAGGGCGGGTGGTTGGAGCGTCGCAGCAGCCGAAAGGGCCGGGAAAGGTTCTTTGGAGGTGGAA